GCTGCCAGCTGGGGGCGTCCTGTCAGCCTCTCGGTGGCCCAAGCGTCACCTGCTGCACATGTGAGTGGGAACTCACGCCAGCTCTTTGCAAAGTGATTGCGCTTTTTGGTGTGTCCATGGGCTTATGTTTCCCCTGTTAGTGGTAGATGATTTACAGGAGCACGGAGAAGAGGCGGCTCTCTGGTAGGTGACTGAAATGCTGCGTGACCTTGCTTTTGGAAGGGCCTTTTAACCTTTGAATTGCATTTACCTGTATGGCTTTCAAGTCAACGATCTTATACACAAGTGAGAGAGCCCCAAAAGCCCTGTTTTGGCTTCCCGCCTCCCCCCGCTTTACTTTTTGTTATTTTTGGCTACTCTTGTCTCCTATTCCTCTACAAAACCAGCTACCGTGCCCATGAGAAAAATACAAGCAGTAGAAAGCTTAACAAGACCTCTACCAGAGTTTTCCTACAAGTTACCTGCTCAGAGGTCCCACTGCCATTACTGCATCCCTCGGCTTCCCTAAGCTTGAGCTGTAAATACGCTACTTACAGCTGCAACAGCATCAGCAAAAATGCTTCTGGCCAAGTGACGGTAATACGGCTTTCATTCAGACTTTGGGAACAGCATATGACTGATAGTACAAGGACTTCCAGCTCCTAAGATCTTTAATGAAGTGACTGCTAAAAAAGAAATACTACAAACCTCTCAAAATGCTTTATGTGATTTCCCAGTGTTAAAATAGCTGGTGCTTTAAAGGGTACCTCTGGGACATAGCATTATAAATTTGCTCTTACAACCAGCGTTACAAGATGACCCAACTCTGCAAAACTGCGTCAACACCGTGAAACTGGTTTGCTGAGCACCCTTCCACCTCGCCAGCACACTGTGTCCCCAGGTGTGGGAAGAGGGACCAGTTTGCCACCACTGCTATGGCAGAGCACGTCGAGTCCTCCTCGGTAAGTGCTACAGCAAAGCCATTCCCATTCCTGAGAAGCCAGAGCAGTGTGGATGTGCTGCATGTGTTCTGCTGATGGCTTCCAATGCATCATGTCCCAGGAGGCCTAATTTAACCAAGGAAAAGACTTGCAATCATGACAAAGAATCTCCGTCTCCCAAGTGCTTTGGGGGAAATGGATAACCTGGTCAGGCAGAAGGAGTCAGGTTGGATACAGAAGCTTCAAAGACAGAAACACATCCCAGACAGAGTGACGAAGGGCACCTAAAACACCAAGAAGCTGTACTGGGAGAGACGGGGAAAGAAACACCGCTTAACCACCGCAGCTTTGCTTACTGCAAATTTTAACTCTGCAACATAAACTGCTCTGGGCCGTGTCCCATACCAGCTGTGCAGCCAGGGGGTGAAGGGGAGGGCTGACGTGGGGGTGAGGTGCATTCAAGCTGCTCAGCGCTGTATGAAGAGGCACTTCCAGCTGGTTCCAA